TTCAAAATTTGAGTCTCTGTGCATTTATACTGCGGAGAAGTTACCTCGTCTTTTATTTCTGGTAGTGATTTCAGGGATATTATTAACCTAGCGTTAACACAGTGGACACTCGCTGTCTGCAGTATTAGGAGTGAGGCAAATCAAACCCTTTTTTTTTTTTCTCTGGTCTGAGTGAGACGTCTCCTCAACTTCCTTAGCAACTGGGGGATACCAAACCCTGTTTTCTTTCTTTGGTATGAGTGAAGCGTGTCCTCAACTTCTTAGATAAATAAAGGGGAATACCAAACCCTTTTACTACGAAATTCGGCACTCGCGTCAGGATCTGCCGATCCCACCTGAAGAAAGCTCTCAGGCACAGACAGTCAAACAAACATGTAAAACTTCACAAGCAGACTGTTCACATTCCATATACCGGAAGAAACATTTTTCAAGAGATGTCCCTTCAGTCTTTAGAGACACTGAACAACAACAACAAACAACCGAAGGTCTTACCTTCAACCTTTGGGAATTCAAAGTGTTGATCCGAGAGAGGTCCCTTCCCTCGTCTTAGATATTGGTCTCAGAGAGGTCTTTTCCCTCATCTTAGACAGAAGATAAACTTGAATAACTTAGTCAAGAAACACAAAGTCTCTCTGCTGACAACTCTTTGGTCATGCAAAGCTAAACTTTTTTATGCCCATCTTCATTATAATTTTCTTGAACATATAACTCATGCAGAAGATACGAAGAGTATTGCAAACTTCTTGGTCAAGTAGAGTTTAACCTCTTTGAGTCCATCAGACTTTCTCTTCATTATAAAAAAATAATTCTGATTACGCTTTGATGCACCACTGTCACGAGTTCTTTGAATTTGACACTGATTCAATACTCGGAAGGATGACCTCTCATCACCCTCTTACTGCAACTGCACCTTTCAATTGTTCCCCACTTAGGGATCTGACACCCGTGGATTGATATAAACCCTGCATCAATGATACTTCAATTTCGCTCGTAGTGTCACTTGCAGAAATAATAAAATTAATTCAGATGGCGAAACGAATATAAATCATCTGAAGGTTCTCTCATCGGTTTCTCGTGGGAAGATTGACATGCTAAGCAAAGTCTGGTGAAACTTTGGTCCTTGCAATGTCTCACTGTACTTGTAAGTTTTTTTAAGTTGCTTTCTTACTGGATGATTGATCTCTTTTCGCCTTTTTTGTTGTCATTGTAGGAATTAGATCAGGGTCCATGAAGATAAACTCATGAAGTTTTGACCTTGATACCATATCATGAACCCCTGAATCATCCATCTCTGATATGTCATATAGACTTTGTCCGCTGCTTCTTTCGTAATTGTGGAGGGACCGAGCCATCTGGGCTCGAACTGTTTAGTCTACTTATCTTTTCTTACGCACCTCTTCTTGTTCAATCTCTCTTGGTTTGATAGTCTGCTGCTTGTCATCCTCTCTGCAACATCTATGACCGTTTTATCAACTTTTTATATTCCTCTCATTCTGATCTGAAGAAGCTATGAAAGAGAATACTCTCTGTCACTCTCTTGGCTTGTCCATGTTCTGATTACACTTTCAATGGGTAAAGTAGCATACCTACCATATCATAGAGTAAACGGAGCATAAGCAATGGTTGTCTTGAAAGTAATGTGGTGACCATAGACTGCAACTCTTAGTACTTTTTGTCCGTTACCGAGTTTTCTTCACACCATTTTGTCAATGAATTGTTTAGAGTTTTGTGACCGCTCTCGACTGTGACATTTGCTTAGGGATGGCAAGTAGTCACACATCGAATTCTGACATTTTGTCTAAGAACGTTTTTTTTTACAAACTCATTCGTGAATTCAGATCTTCTATGTAAGACAAACTCTCTCATGTGAGATCAACTTCTTCTATCCAGTCAGCCACTTGCTCGACCGTTTTTTTGTCCAGATCATTTGCCTTAACATAACCAGAGAAGTTATCTCTCATGTTCAGTATGTATCTAATCCCACCCTGCCTAGAGGTATGGTGATAAGATCCAAGTGAACTCGACTGCCTGACTCTACGAAGATAGAAGGTAATAAAGACTCAATCATCCTCGTTTTAGATCTCTTATGATATAACACACATGATTTGCATAATTTGTTAATCATATCTTTCATGTCAGCCTAAATGTAGAGCTTAGCTGTCTTAGAGTAGGTTGCTTTAGCAACTCTATAATCAACATATGCGTCGTCGTGTAAAACAACAATTTTTTCTAGTTGTATTCCTTTCTCACAGACCACCCTTAATAGAGTCAACCTTTCCTTGCCATGCACGAAGAGGTGACCTTTCTTTAGTCTGAACTTCTTCCTTATGTTTTTGCAGTAATATTTCTTTATCCTCTCTCTTTTCATCATTTTTTCAATCTCTTGGTTTCTTTCATCGTACTCTTCAAAAATGAAAGAAATTTGTTCTTTTTTTTTTCGACCTCTTCTTCAACTTTTGATCGAGAACTTTCCCCCAGTTCATTGACAATCACAGTTGCTGCGGTGACTTTAGCATATCAACCGTTTGTTTTTCTCCTTCTTTCTCAAGGACCGACTCGTAAAAATAAGCATCATGGGTTTCTCCCCACCTATTTTTTACTTCAGGCCATAAACTCCACTTTTAAGAACTTAGTGCTTTGTAATCTTCATTATTTTTTTCATTAACGAAGTCATTAACATAGACAAAATTTTCAAACGTTTTATCATTCATTGTCTTCATCTTCGTTTTTTCTCTATTGAATACGGCTGAGGTCATCTTCTCGGTTTTTCTCAGTGAGAACCTTTTGTCTGGGTTGCAAGATGTACGTGTACGCGGGTTACGCGTACATGCGTATACGTATTCCCGTACGCGACACGTACGTGTACGGACTACGTAAAAAAAAAAAAAAAAAAAAAAAACAAACAAACAAACAAACAAACAAACAAACAAACAAACAAACAAAACAAAAAAACATCGAGCAAATTTGAAAAAAAAAAAGGAATGGAAAATGATATTTCAAATAACTTTTATTTAAGACTCGTTGCAAAACTTTATACCAAACTCAATAAAAAAAAAAAAAAAAAAAATGACAAGTTAATTGAAATACAAAGAAGAAAAATACAAATAAAAATAAAAAAACATAAAAACAAAACAAACTCCTGTAACAAATATATGTTATGTAGAAACATGATAGAAACAACTTTTTTTCGGAAGTCAGCCCCGAATTCCCAATCAAACTCGAGTAACTGTTTTTTTTTAAGTAATATTATCATAATAATGTAAAAATTATTTTAATTTTTTTTTTAATTATTATTATTTAAAAGTTTTTTTAAGGTTTTTTATTTTTAAATCAAGATTCGTTAGGAATTTCGGTATGACTCCTAGACAAAAATTATTCATATCATTATTCTGTATAATTTTTTTTTATTTTTTTTTTTACGTATGTGTACGCGCGATGTTGGGTTCGTACGTGTACGTTGGAATACGTGGGCGTATACACTGCGTACGCATATGACATTCTACCAGTCTTTTGCAATGTAAAATTAAAAGTCCAGATGAAGACATTCCACATGCTTCCTGTTGGATCTACTTGTTGATGGCTTTTACTAACACCAATCAAACTTGAGGCAGTGGATAATTGTCAGTAGCTCTTTTCTGAATTGAGTATGGTTTATTTCCGTAGAGTTATGAGTTCTGCTTTCAAACATTCGAGATTTTTGTTTTTCATTCTCATTTTTCAGAATAAGTACATCACCAAGAGCTACTGATCCTCTATCAATCTGCATGATAAAGAGTTTTCTCTCTTCATCATTATAATAGGACATTCTCAACATTACACCTCTATCTCTTTACTTTTCTTGTAGAGTGTCTACAACAATCTGTCTCTTCTTAGTCGATGATAAGTTAGCCCATTATCTTACCATCTCTTCTTGAGGTTCTGCACGGGTAGGAAAATGAGGAATAAAAATCCTTCAAAACCACAAACGCCCAAGAAGCTCCTGACATATGTCATCCGCTTAAGAGGCATGAACCAATTCAGAATTTTATCTATTTTATTGGGTTCAGGACTGCTAACCTTGAAGAAACTTCTAAAACCTAAGATGATTACTTCTGCTTGAAAAAAAAAAGATTTTGGTCCACTGACGGTCATATTGTACTTCTGAAGTTTTCTCACGACAAGTTTTACAACCTTAACATGTTTTCAGACAAATTTTCTCACCCCATCAGCAATCAAAGTCTCGTCTCTTATTATGCATCCTTTCAGAAGATTATCATCAATATAGGTTGGGATGGTTATCTGAGCAGAAATATTTTGTATGACTAGGATCATGTCCCTTTGAACCATTGTCACACCATTGGTCTATACTTGAGGTACCACACATCTGCGTAGCATCGCGCTCGGGCTCGGTGATCAAGCCCGAACGTTCGGTACCGAGCCCAAACGTGTTCGAAAATCGACCGAGCATGATTATTTTTTTTTTTTTTTTTTAAATATATAAGGGTTAGGGCACTCCATGGGGGCATTGCCCACCACTCCTGAACATCTACACATGCATACAAAACACACACCACACACACACACACACACACACACACACACACACACCTGTTGAACCAGTTGATGCAACACATACAACAACTGCTGCAGTAGTAGCTCATTGATTGATTGATTGACTGATTGATTGATTGATTGCTTCAGTCTGCACAGACTCCTTCGCATGCATACAAAACACACACACACACACACACACACACACACACACACACACACACACACGCACGCACACACCTGTTGAAGCAGCTGATGCAACACATACAACAGCTGGTGCAGTAGTAGCTGATGCAGCTGATGTAGGAGCTGCATTTGCTGCACAATGCACACAAATGCAAGGAAAATGAGCAACAGCGGGATGACAGAATCCAGATTGCACAATCACATTGAATGCTAGAAAGTTCTACAGTGTTCAGAAAGCAGCATTGCGCCAATAATACACCAATGGTGAATCGAAACACTGAAACCGAATGTCAATTACAGCTTACTCTCGTCATCACCAACATAAGAGTCCAGGCCCTTCCACCCTACTTGGCACTTGGCACTCAACGCCCAGATTACCCCCACATAGCTACTGTCTGCCTACGAATTGACAATACAACTGCTGACGTCAAGAGCCACCGTGGTATATGAAGATGCCGCCCAATACCAGGTATATGCCCAAGCCCCAACCACTACCACTTGCTGTACGCCTGAGCCCCAACCAACTGTGGAAGCTGGGCCTCTGCTGCTGCTGTTTGGCCTCGTTCTACAGTGAGGCCTCCTAACTGTCAGTGTATATTGCTGCAGATGTGGCCCAGGGCCTGCCTTTCAGAAAAAGGCCTAAAAGGCCGTGGAAAGTATTTGCTGCTCGTGAACTGATTCCCTCAACCAACTGACGCGACACAACTGCCTGAACCCCAAATACAAAATTGACAGCATTGGGCCTCTCGTGATTTGCTAGGCCCGCCTCCACTTAGGGCGGGCACACTTGTACAAGGGGCCCCTTAGGCCTGCCGAGGAGCCAAATCCTCTCAAAAATACATAATCGCACACACACACACACACGCACACAGACACACGTACACAGACACACACACGTAGACACACACTCACACACACACACACACACACACACACACACACCTCCTGACGCAATTGATGCAACACGCACACATAGACACACATACCTGCTGACGCAATTCGTGCAGCACGCACACACATACACACACACACACACCTGCTGAGTCTGCTGACGCAATTGATGCAGCACACACACACACACACACACACACACACACACACACACACACACACACATATACAGACACACACACACACATATACAGACACACACACACATACAGACAGACACACACGTGACACAACTGCTGACGCAAATGATGCAGCACCTGCAGCAGCTGCTGCAGCTGATGTAGGTGCTGCATTTGCTGCACACAGTGGCAACTGCTGTTGACGCAGCTGATGCAGCCACACAGGCACCATCCTTCACCTCTCTCTCTCTCTCTCTCTCTCTCTCTCTCTCTCTCTCTCTCAATGTGTCTCTCTCTCCTCCTCTTCAGACGTCATCCTTCGCCGTTTCTTTTTGTGTAGAGGAGCACTCTCATAAGAGTCCTCATCTAAACTCTCCTGTGCAGGATTGGAAGATGGCTGGCTCTCTCGTGGTCTCACTAACTTACGCCGCCCTCTGCCGCGTTCGACAAGTGGCCCTCCTCGTGCAGAAAGTGGCCGACCCCGGCCACGGCCAGAAGGTGGACGCCCTCTGCCTCGTCCACCTGGATATGCGAGCGGATACCATACGGTTCCGGGATGTGCTCCGTGGCGACCTAGCAGCTGTGAAGGTCGAGTGGAGCCATAGAATGCATCCACCTGCTGATGCCGCTCCTCGCCCTCAGGCTCGGCTTGTCGCTGCTCGCCCTCGGGCTCGGCCTGTCGCTGCTCGCCCTCTGCCTCGCCGTCTGCCTATCATTGCTCGCCCTCTAGCTCACCCTCTCCACGGTGCTCCTCCTGCTGCTGGTGCTCCTGCTGCTGCTGATGTTCCTCTTGCGGGTGCTCCGTCTGTCGGTCCTCCTGCTGCTGTTGGTGCTCCTCCTGCTGCTGGTGCTCCTCCTGCTGATGGTATTCCTCCTGTTGTCGGTTCTCCTCCTGCTGATCCTTGTCAAGATGCTCATGCTGCTCTCTCTGCACACGCTAGTCTTTCAATCGATGACTGAAGCGTGTGTCCTCTATATATGGAAGAATCTCTTCCCTCCTCGTCCATGATCTATCAGAATCTGACCTCTCGTCCACCCACTCCTCGCCTGGAATGTTGTCCTCGTCACTGAGGTTGTCATCCACATCATCCTCAGCCTTGTCCGTCTCGATAGCCTCCTCCACGTCCTCCAACCTCTGCACGGATGCCGACCTCGCAGGAGGATCACGGGCAATGTTGGTGCTGCCTGCAACAGAACCAGTGCCCTCCACACCAACCTCGTTGTCATCGACAGCATCTGTGACATTCGCCATGTCACCCTCCAAGTCCTCGTTAGCCCAGTCCTTCTCCAACCCCAACCACCTTCCTACGATCGTGGGCCGATTATCCCCCCTGTTCGTGAGCCTGAGGCTCCAATGCGAGTACACCAGTTTCTCGATGCGGTGGTGGTGCAACTTTTTTCTGGACTTGGTCTGCACGAGAGCCCAAGTGCTCCAATTCCTCTCAGTTGGTGAGGATGTTGTCCAGATGGAAAGCACCGTTACTGCCAACTCCTTGATGTCTGGATGGCCAGCTCCGTGCGCCTCCCACCACAACACAGGATTGTCCTTTGCTGCCCTCCTCACCACTGCAGGGTCACCAAAGAGCCCTCTCCCAAACTGGAAGTCGTACAGTTGGTCCTTGCAGTCGTCAAACCTCTTCGAACCCTTCTTGTCGATCAACCGCTCGACAACGCTGTCAAACTGCGCCATGAGGTCGACATTGCTGAAAACAGCAACATCCCTCAACTGAGGATCCAACAGCCGTACGACAGCGTGTATGGGGCTGAGAAGCATGTCTGTCCTCTTGCCCACGTCCGCAATGACAACCTCTCGCTCTTCTACAGTGAGGGGGCCATAACGGACAATGCTCTGAGCCGACAAGCCATGTCGCAGTGAACATCCTTGTCCACCTCTCTCAGCACATCGTACGGGCTCTTCATCAGTGCGGTCAACTACTTGACATCATCCCAGAAGGCTTTGTCAAGAATGAACTCCTCCATTGCGTAGGCTTTCAGCCTGACGTCACCGCGCCACATCATGTTCTCCCAGGGGCGCCCGGTCACGATACGCACAAGCACCTTCTCACACACCTGCAGTCTGTGCAGCATCACGTAGTGGGTCCCAAACCTTGTCGATGCTGGCCGAAGGAGACAGGTGGCCTTCAACTCAGGGTACTTCAGCAATTGCGCCCTCAGGTGGGAACGTGGCCACTTGTGAACCCTAAAAAAGTTGACCACCTTGTTCGCCCTGTTGATGACCTCAGCCGCCCATTCCCTGCTGCATATGTCATACATGAGCAGATCCATGCAATGGGTTGTGCAAGGGATCCAGTAAATCTGGCTGAACTCTGGATCCTACCTCAACATCCTAGCTGCACTCTTGTTCCCCGCGAAGGAGTCTGTGCAGATCGCTGTGATCTTCTCCACCCCCCACTCCCTAAAGAACCGCTTCCACCCCGCTACGACAGTAGCTGCATCCTTATCCCCCTCGCTCACATCCTCGCACTTCACGAAAATTGGCTTTGAACGTCCTGCGAGGATGTAGTTCATTAATGATCGGCCACATATGTCTGTAGTCCCGTCAGTAATGAACGTGCAACCTGTGACTTGCCAATCATCCCTGATCGCGTGCTCCTCCTTCTCCAACCTGCCCCGCAACTGCTCAAGTAGGCGACATCTCAATGGGTTGTACCCAGTGGGAACAAGAGGGCACCTCGCTGCAGGCTGTGAACCGTAACACGCCAACTGAAACTCCTTGAAACTCTTGCTCTTCGCGACGTTGAACGGAATGACGTTCTCGACGAAGAACTCGCAGCAAGAGTCATCGATGTCCTCCTGCCGCGGATTCTTCGCGTACCTCGCGATTGACGTTTGTTTTGCTGGTCCACGTGTCTGGACCTCTTGCTGCATTCGCCGCCTCCCGCCCGCTCCCCCAATGGCGACCGGCCCAACTGCAACACACCCGCTCGCCAACTCTCCTGGTCCGCTGCCAGGCCGCCTACAAACTGGCTCCTCGGAGTCAACACCAATCTCGGCACCTCCTCCATCACCCTCTACAACACCTCCCATCGCAGCATCCTCATCTACATCACTGTTCTCCTTCTCCAATGCACGTTGCACCCTATCCAGCAAGTCCGGAGCCATATCACAACCTGCCTTGTGCAGTCTCTTCCAAATGGATATGGTGTCATAAGGACACTGGGACCTCTTCAAGAGGAAGTGCTCATAAGCCCGTTTTCGTGTGCCGGTCCACTCGCGCTGGCATAACGTGCAGCGCAACCTTCACGCCTGAATTTGGTATCCACCCTGAACGGCTCCCTTGCACCACCTCCCCCCGCCGCGCTGGTACTCGCCATGATGATGATGCGGCTGCTGCTGATGTGGATCCTGATGACGTGGAAGTTGCTGCTGTGGTGCTGCTGCCGATGCGGGTGCTACTGCTGACGTGGAAGCTGCTGCGGCTGCTGCTGATGTCGCAACTGCTGTGGTGCTGCTGCTGTGGTGCTGTCGAGTTGTGGCAACTGCTGTGTGGCTGCTGCTGTGGTGCTGCTGCTGTGGTGCTGTGGCAACTGCTGTGTGGCTGCTGTCGTGGTGCTGCTGATGTGGCAACTGCTGTGCGGCTGCTGCTGATGTACTTCAGCTTATGTCTCACCTCCTGATGTGGCAGCTGCTGTGTGGCAGCTGTTGTGCGGCAGCTGCTGTGTAGCAGCTGCTCCGTGGCAGCTGATGTGCAGCAGCTGCTATGTGGCAGCTGCTGTGTGTGCTGATGTGGCAGCCGCTGCAGCTGCTGAAGTGGCAGCTGGTGCAGCGGCTGACGTGGCACGTGGTGCAGCTGCTGTCTTGGCAACTGCGGATGTTGTAACAGCTGTGTGTCTGCTGCTGATGTCGCACCTCCTGCTGTGGCAGCTGCTGTGTCGCCCTCTGCTGTGTCTGCTGACGTGGCAGCTGCTCCTCCACCCGTCCTCCTGTCGTCCTGTTGCGATTGATTGATTGATTGATTAATTGATTTATTTATTTCTTTATTCGATTTTGTTGTTCTTTTTTTTTTGTTGATTGATTGATTGATTGATTGATTGATTGATTGATTGATTGGTGGGGGAGGGGTCGCCCCACCCCCGCGCACACACACACACACACACACACACACACACACACACATACACACACATACACACACACCAGCTGTCCCGCGCGCGGAGGCGCAGCGGGGGCAGCGCGCGGGCGCAGGAAGGGCA